GCAGTAATGTATTCAGGCTTCTTGGGGGGGATGCAGGGAGTTGAGGTCCGTTGTCCAACAGTTGAGAGAGTTTCTAGAGATGCCCTTTTTGGAGCAAACAACCACAAAATTGTGTATTGTGGGGAAAGAGGGCAAGACTCACATACACAAAAATCATCAGTGCCTATGGAATCAATCCCTTCGCATCTGGAGCTTTAAACTCAACTCAGATCATTCAATGCAAGGATGTGCAAGCCATGTACTTTGCAGAGACCAGCACTGCTCAGGTAGGTTTTTATTTCAGAGCAGGGCAGTTAGACGCCATTCTACTAGCTGCATAGTCTTTTGCATATGAGGTATGTAGCAAATTCAGCCTTGAAACCACTTAGTAGTACTGTCAGGATCTTGAAGTATTACTTCTCTAAGCGATCGTCTGGAAAGCGCCTAGCTGTTTCAGGGTCACTGGCTGGACAGCAGACGCAGAAGGTACAATTACGATGGTACTGCCAGAGAAGACAGTCCTGGCCTTGAAGGAGCAAGGACTAAGGGAAGAAAGCAGCAAGGAGTCTAGACCTTAACACAGCATCAATGACTTCAGGGGAGGGATTTTTTAAACAAAAAGCAGATTTAAAGATAAAGGTTGAGGCCAAGTGACCCAACAGATTGGGGGCAGGGAGAAAGGAACCAATCAAGAGCGCAGACAGCCATGCTGAGCCTCTGGGCAAGGTTCCAAGCTCCCAGAAGGGGTGGGGCTGGGAGCAGCCAGTCTTTCGCACTGCCTGAACTGCTGCATCCCCCTCTCTCCCCGAGCTGCCCAGTACATGCGGTGCGGCACCCCCACCTCCCCAGGCAGCCCTCCGAGGTGGCTGGAGTGTGCTGTGCGGCACTAACAGCAATGTTGCCCTCTTCTTCCCTCCCTCCACTCCAGTCAGCAGACCTTGAACCAGCAGGAAAGCTGCATCCGAGAGGGTAAACCGGAAGAGCCAAAAAGGTGCAAAATCTCTCCTCCTGATCTGGATTGCAACTGAACTGGAATATTCACACACACAAACACACCCCCCCCCCCCCCCCCCTCCCCTCCAGTTCCTTGCACTTAGAGAACTCTCAAGCAAACTTCTAGCTGATCTGATGCCCCAAACCACATGTGGAGGAATATACTGGCAAACAGGTGCCCAGTGATTTGGAGAAGCTGCACGGTTTGGCGGAAAATGGAATTATGGGCAGACAGACAAGGTGCTGCAGCGGCGACTGGACACTCAGCCATTCATCACCTGGCTCTCACATCAATGAGTTGCGAGGGCTCCCTCACAGCACTGCAGTCCTTTGTTTGCTTAGCAGAGTGGGGCTTTAATCACCAACGGCCAACCCAGCCATCCCTCGTTAACCACACCCAGGCCTGGAACAATGCATAACCTCACCACGTGGCTGTACCACTAAGTTCACACTTTCCCTGCCTCTTTGGGACTTAGCTAGCTCTTCTCCAAACTATACTTACTGGAGGACATCCCTCTGCTCCAAGTTGTATTTGCCTCCATTCTTCATAGCTGCATTGTGGATAGCCTCAATGGCTCGGTCAATGGACTGTAAAACCACATCTTGTTCCAGCACCTAAAGAACACAACGTGCCACGTTACCATCTCTTCATTTTGAGATTCCTTTCCATTGCACTTTACAGTAAGTGAAGTTGACAGCATAAGAAATCCACAGGAACAGGCAGCACAGAGAACTCAGCTGACTAATGGGAAAAAGATAAAGGTTGCAATTGCCCTGAACACGTATGATTATACCCAGCGTCCACTGTCCTGGCCTGTTCACTACCTCTTTGAAGAATCAACTTTTTAAAAATTGATTTTTTTAAATGTGCAGGTGTACACAAAATGGATTGTCTAGTTGAGATTTATTGTTAGAGACGAAACACACAACACAGCTTCATGCACTTGCCTTCTGGGGCCTGAAATCCAACAATTTATTATATGTAGATCAATTGCAAAGAGCATGGAACAGCTCTTCAGATCAATTTCACATCCAGAGTGCCACAATAAGCTTCTGACTTTTTACTGCAACACACAGTTTATAGCATGCTCATTTCCTTCTGCTACACCTACCCATCCCTGGAATAACATTGAGCCCATATATCTGGAGACCCTCTCATGCCAATTGGCTATAGTCCCATTGGCCCTTTTATTCACATTTTTCTAACTATTTTTCTATTAATTTTGCTGCTGAAATAACTTTCAGATTCCCACTTAAGCAATCATTGTATTATTTGCTCTTGTAGTTACATGCCTGCCAGCAAATTTAGCACGTTTTGTTGTTATTGAAAATATAACACCAGCTTTTCAAAACAAAAAACAAAACACTAGAAAACATTTAATTCATCAGTCAGACCATGACCAAAAGTTTTGGAACAGATTTAACTGTGTCAATCATAGTGGCTGTGAATTTAGGAATACAATACTACACCATACTGACAAAATTTAAAACGTAAGCAGTTTCTCAACCTAGCTGACTTACACCTCAGGTTCTGCTTGTGTCTCTGAGGTCACGAATTCTGTGACTTTCCATGAGCTCTTTCCAGGCAGCCCCCAGGCCAGGCACACCAGCCACTGCTGAGAAAGTCTTGCTCCACTCTATCCCCCAGCAGCAAGAGTTTGGATGTTGGGAAGCTCAGGGGAAGGGTGGAGGGCAGGGTTTACGTGGGGGGAGGGTGCTCATCTCCTTACTCCACATGCTGCCTCTGCCTGCGAGCCCTGCCTCCCCACCCATTGCCTAGGAACAGACCATGGTTCCTAGGCAATGGGAGCTGCAGAACCGGGGCACAGGCAGTACATGACACTGAGCCCACGAGCAAGCCTACCCCAGCTCCATCCACCTCTCCCCACAAGTATCTGAAGCATCCTCCTGGGCTGGTACTCTCCAGTGCATGCATCCATGGCACCCTTCTGAGCTATGTTTCCATGAGCCACTGTAGTGCCTCCAGGGCGGCCCCTGCAAGTTTTAGTCAAGGGTATATAGTAAAAAACCATGGACAGGACATGGAATTTTATTTAATGTCTGTGACCTGTTCGTGACTTATTAAAAATACACATGACTAAATCTTAGCCTTAATTACTGCTCATTCTTCCTTTAACATGGCTTGGGACCTTCCATTCCCCAGTTGTTTTGCACTATGGTTTTATCTATTCAGACTTTAAATCCTAGATCCATTTCTCCCAACCCACCTAGCAGAAATGGAGGCAGACACCACACTACAGAACTTTCAGGCTAGGCATTAGCAACATAGGCAAGTTGGACCTGAGCAAATGTCTCGCATTACAAGGAATGTCTCGAATGAAAGGACAGGAAAGATTCAGTTGGCCTCTATTCTTGAAATATTCCTATAAGGTTTTGGCTAGTAAGACTTGACACATTCAGCACCTTCCACCTGAATTTCTCCAAGGCCTGGTCTACACTGGGAGTTCAGGTCAAAATTAGACCCATTGAGTCAATTTTCTAAACAGTGAGTCCACACCATCAAGCCCATTCCATCAACTTCAAGGCTGTTAAAGTCATTTTCTGTACTCCTGCTTTCAGGAGGAGTAATGCTAAATTCAACCTTGCATGGCTGATTTTACAATAGTGCAGACACAGTGCTGTGAAAGTTGATGTTCTTGACCTTCTGGTGGTGTCCCACAGTGCCCCATGTTGACCACTCTGGCCTGGACTTTCAACTCTACTGTTCCCCAGATGAACAGGAAAAGCCTAGGAAAAGCCCTGGTCAGCAGGGCGATCAAGACCTCAAAGCAGGCAGCACATATGACCACGAGTTCCATGAGTTCCCAGGGTTGCAGATGAGCACCAGCATAGAGCATTCAAGAGATCCTGGACCTTACTGCTGTGCAGGGAGAGGAATCTATTCTTGCAGAGCTATGAAACAGCAAAAGAAACTCAGATATCTATGCCAAGATTGCAGAGGGCATGGAGGAGAAAGGATGCGCCAGGGTTATCCTATAGTGCAGAGTGAAAATAAAGGAGCCAAGGTAGTCATACAAAAGACAAAGGAGGCAAACGGATGGCCTAGATAATCACCGCAAAGATGCTGCTTCTACGAGCTGCTGCATGATATCCTTGGGGGAAGCCGACCAGCTTCCCTAGCCAGTCCATGGATTTCTCGCAAGACGCTCCTCAGCAGGGCCAGCCCACAACATTTAGGCACCTGAGGAGGGGGAGCTCAAATGACACCTCCATGCCACCTTTCCTCCTGCCTGTCTGTTATGTTCTGTGCCCTCCATCATCTCTGTGCATCTAGAGCAGAGAGAATACATACACACAGCAGCAGACACCATTTTCTACACTGAATCCTAGTGGCGCCCCCTCAGAGTCTGGCACCTGAGGCAGCCGCCTCATGGTGAGGCCAGCCCTGCTTCTCAGGCAGCGGCAGCATGGAGGACAACATGGATAAAGAAGAGGGGGAGAATGATCAGCAGGTGAACAGAGTAACTGATATCACAGAGCCAAGGACTTTTGGTGAATTCACATTTTTTAATCTTGCTAGAAGTGGGTTAAGGCAATTGGGTTTGATCTGTGGTGGCCACTCTGCCTAGACAGCAGGAGGACCCCGAAACAGCCTGTTAACATGTCTGGAGATGGAACGGGAATCTGTCCTGCACATCTCCATAAAGTGCTCATAAAGGAGCTATTTAATCCTTCTCACAAGGTCTCTGGAGAGACCTGCCTTATTCCAGTCTCCATGGTAGGACGCCTTTCCACACCAAGCCAGCAGTACGTGGTCTGGCATCACTGTAGCACGAAGCACTGGAGCATAAGAACCAGGTTGCTCGCCACATAGTCAGCACCTGCTCCCGATCACTCTGCGATTAGGAGAAGAAGACTGATCTCGCATGGCAACCTGGATGAAGTAGGGGAAGATATTAGCTAATACTCCTGCAGTAAACCTCCATTTGCTCATCCCCAATGAAGCATGCCCTGAGCCACTGCCCTGCCGCCATGCACAGCCCTACCTCCGCATCTGCCCAATCCTGCAGGAAGTGAAAGTTGCAATCTCTTGGCAAACGGGGAGGGCTGCCTAACACATGCGTGCCATATGAGCCCCTGCTGCCATGCCTGGACCTTCTCCCTCCTGCAGGCTCATGCCCCAGTCTAACCCTTACCATGCTTGCCACCAAAGCGAGTCCAGCTGCTCTCCTAAAAACTATGTGGCATACCTGCTGCACAGTGGCCACTTGAAAGCGTAACTGTGGCTTTGTACATAACATCGTCACACATTTTGCTTTTACTCCAATTGATTAGGTTTTATGCTCTACAGTGTATCTCCTTCGCTTTTCATGACAGCAGAAACAGCAGTGAGCCTGCTGTGCACCCTCCTGGCCCCTGACCAGCACAAATCTGCAGGAAAACACAGACGAGGGATGACATATTCAAGGGGCAAATACAATCTGCCCACTTGGACAGGGAGTGCCTAAGCGAGTGGAATCTGCTATTGTAGTTGATCTGCGGGGAGCACGAGGACAGGACAACATGCAGGGAACTGGAAGCGAGGAACCAGGAGAGTCTTGCCATCCATAGTGGTTGTGATGCACCCCATGGAGGCTTTCTAGGCACTCCCTTGTGGGGCAACATTCTCTCCTCATCAAGTTCCATAGTCTCCTCTCTCAGGGGCCCTAGAATGCGGGGAGACAGTGGAAGTCAAGGGCAGCCCCACACTCAATCAGGGCTGTGTCACAAAGCAAAAGGCTGTCCTTGCGTTTGATCCACCCTTCCTCCTCCAAAGCTCCCATCCTAGAGTCCTTTTCTGGCCCTTCTGCATTCCCTAAATATAAACAGACACACACACACGATTTCTGAACAGTCTTTTTATTGCTTGTGTTGAAGGGGCAAGAGGAAGGGGAGGGGAGTTAAAGGCAGGTACACTGAATGCATGGGCACCTTGTTGAGAGCAACATGAATGACTTTGAAAGATAATTTTATGAATGGCCAGTTTTGAAAGCCTCTCTGATTTGCACTGCTCCTTGCTGTGCTTTCCTTATTGCCCTGGTATCTAGCTGCTCAAAACCCTGGCTAGGCGCTGGGCCTCGCCATTCCCCCACCCCTGACAAATAACTTCCCCCCTTTTCTCACAAATATTATGGAGCACGCAACTATCACCACAACAGGAATGTTGCACTGCTGAGGTCTGTCAACAGAATGCAGAATTTTCCCTATAAACAAACACACAGAAAACCCCAAATTCTATCACCATTCTGCATTTGCTAAGCTTGTAGTTGAACTACTCCTTACTACAAACCAGGCTGTCTGTGTATGGTGCCATGAGCCATGGAAGTAAGAGGTAGGCTGGGTCACTAAGGATCACTATTGGCATTTCAAGGTCTCTGATAGTAACTTTCTGGTCTGGGGAAAAAGTTCCAGCTTGCAACTTGCCAAATAGGCAGGAGTTCCTAAAGATGCATGTGTCCTGCACCTTTCCCAACCATTCCACACTGATGTGGGTGCAGCGGCCCTTGTAATCCACCAGGGCCTGCAGCACCATTGAAATATACCCCTTGCAGTCTATGTACTCCTTGGCAAGATGGAGGGGAGCTAAGATGGGAATGTGTGTTCCATCTATTGCC